GTACACGGGACCTCGGTTTTTCGTCCCATCCGAACGACTAGAAGCCTTGTCAGCCCCTCCGTCCTGCATCACTGACAAAGGAGAACCACGCCGGAAAATCTGGATGAACTTTCTCGGCCAATGCAGGGATCGAACACCCGACCTCCAGGCTAGCGAGCTAGCGTCTTACCCACTTAGCCACGTGATCCCCAGATGGCGTGATAAGAAACAATGTTTAGTCGGATTAGACGAAGATACGAGGTTCTGTGCTCCCGTCAAAAGGCAAAACCTAGTAACTCACTTTTTTTTATTTTATCAAAATTGAGTTAGAACCAAATTTGTAATTACTAGGGTATGTGCTTCCTGTTGTTGTAATAGATATTCCAATCTTTTGATTTTGTAACCAGTTACACCCATGACACAACCTAGCAACTTCCTTCATTTGCCTAGTATACCACAGCAAAACCTAGTAACTCAGTAGTCAAATCAATGGATGAGCTGGGGTTTAATATTCATTCATTACGTTTTCCTTTGTTTTCTCAAAATAAGAAAAAAGTGAGTTACTAGGTATTGCCTTTTGACGGGAGTGTAGTAGGCGGAAACAACGTTGTCCGGGTAAATCTTCTAATATAATTCATTGCATGGCGTAAACTCAATTGGTGCCAAAAAGTAAGACGCTAAACAGCATTTCATTTCGTTTCATTTACTTTCCGCCTGACACGGACAGTTGTCTAGTCGTTTGGATGGGGTGAAAAACCGAGGTCCCGTGTATACATTGTATACGTCAAATATCCACCGGCAATTGGAATTCCATATAAGCGTAGGCCATAGTGCCGCTGCTCGGGCACAATTTCCCTGATAGCACACTGTCTTCATTAGCCCAGTCGGTGCAGAACAGTAGTACTTTAAATCCCATTTCATTTGATTTACTTTACTTTCCACATTGTACTGATGTACAAAAGAAACTAGGTTGGACTGGCGACACTTCTCCATGTCACGTACACACTGGGAACCACGCCACTTGACCTTATAACCCAAAGTGCACGACCACCCAACCTCCCAGGCTTGTCGGGACAATGCCTATTATTATTAATCCAGGAACGAACGCATCGTTTCAGACTTGCCATTGATATATACTAATTTAATATTATTTATGGTAATAACGAATCAATAATGCATGCACCGAACAGTGCACATCTCTTTGGGGATAGATCGAGATTGTTTCGCCATCGTCGTCCATGTGAATCAGCGATATTTGCTTAAGCGAGTCTTGCTGTGGTCTGTCTACCAAGAAAATCTATGACATAAATAAATCACAGTGACAGATTGACCGAATTGCCTAATTAGTATACCTCTTTATTGTGATATATTAGTGTAAAAATCTTATACGGTAAGCGGCATTGGTGTTTAGCCAATTTAACAAAATGAAAACGTCATAAGCCAAATGGAAAATTTGGCGGTAAGTCACATGTTTTATTTGTATTTTTGTCACTTAGGACAATGGGGGATCCGCGTGGTCGTGTGGTTAGGACAACAGTAGAGGAATAGTAGACGGAAAGGTCGCTTTCCAGAGAAAATTGTTCTCGTCGTATCAAAATAAAAACTACCGTATCTTAAAGGAGCTAAGTTTCAAAATATTCGAAATTAAAAACACGAATTAGAATTCAATATTGATCAATTTCAATGAATATTGATGATGTTATCTTGCTGTGAAACTTTAGGATCCTAATATCTAATATTTAAGACACAATTAACATTTTATAATCACTGCACGGGTCGTGTACCTTATGGTTTCGGATGTCATTTTGTAATGAACAAATAAAAACATACCCCTACAACACAATGTGGAAGTAATTAGTAAAGGTTGGTTCACAAACGACAAAATAATAATTTAAAAAGCGTGTAGAATGGACTAAGTAAACGACTTCAGTTCAATTTAAACTGTTCGGCAAGACGTTCAACACTTTCATGCTGACATTTGTTTTTATAAAATGAAATTATTGTTCTTCTTTTGATGTTCATTCCGGTGTTGCATGTATATGAACAAATGTTAATTACTTATTGCAGATTGCATGTGACATTAAGAAACAAAATCCTCATCATGTCTGAATCACAAAACAAAGTATGTGACATAATTGTTATTTATATTTTTCATAGTGTACTTTTTATAATGTATATAAGTTTTGTATTGTATTTGATTGTATACATATATATATGAATTTTAATAAAACAAAGAGCGTTTCCTCACTAACCCGGATGTCCCGGTGTTTGATGAGAAAGGTCCTCATGATAGTTCAGCGTAGTTTCTCCTTATCAAAGGTACATGAATGAGTGTCGGGCAAGGAGCAGTGTCAAGCATACACGTTGCTGCATACGTAAGAGCACCCTTGACAGTTTGAAATTCGAAATAAAAGTAGGCCGTAGAGTTACTTCCCGGGCGCTAATTTTTATTCCCAACTGACAAAGTCATTGCACTGGCTGGGCTTGGAAAAAAAACCTACATGTACCCCACCACGAGAGTCAAGGACGACACTCCTACCCAACTCTGTGGTAAAGGTCTACGCCGGTTGGTAAGATAAAACAAATTTCGAGTCCACTTGATTCGGCATATACAGTTACATTTGGCATATTTGGGCAATTTTTATTTTACATAAAATCAATTTGATGAAAATATGCCAGATGTAACAGTATAGCCATCCCTCTATAGATAAACTATTTAACTGTAAATCTATGAGTAGTACAATTTTTAAAATGGCTATCGAGTTTATTTTGGAATGAAATGGTGTTTTAATTTAATCTCCTACTTCTCTGCACCACACAGTCTAATGAAGTCTGGCATATGTCATGCAGTGTGCATAGAGGAAAATGAAGAAACGCTGTGTTTCCGCTTACGGTTGATCAAATCCTAACTGTGAATAAGAGTAGGCCGTAGCGCCGCTGTCCGGGTAAAATTTCCCTCATAGCACACTGTATGGCGTATACCCGTCTTCATTAGCCTAGTCGGAGCAGAACAGTAGGACGTCAAACCCCATTTCATTTCCTAACTGTCAAGGTTCTCTTACGTATTAAATTAAACACAAGAGTCCTATGGAAATCATGAATTACGGTATTTCTAATCGGAGCTACGTTTCTACAATGAGTCTCTTGTCGTGTTCAAGCACACTACTGACACAATCGGTTTTACATCCCATCCGAACACCGAGAAGTTATTCTTTGTCAGACCCTCTCTTCCGCAACACTGACCGGGAATACAGTCCTGGTTAGTGAGTCATAGCAAATGCTCACAGCCAAGTTTATTTTGAATAAGATATTGTTAATAGTTAATTAACTTTATCTTATTAATGCCGGGGGTGGGGGTGGGTTAACGCGAGCGCACTGTATCATAAGGTCTGTCATTGAATCAAGTGGGGGGATCACGTGGCTAAGTGGGTAAGACGCTAGCTCGCTAGCCTGGAGGTCGGCTGTTCGATCCCTGCATTGGCCGAGAAAGTTCATCCAGATTTTCCGGCGTGGTTCTCCCTTGTCAGTGATGCAGGACGGAGGGGCTGACAAGGAAAGCTGTCTAGTCGTTCGGATGGGACGAAAAACCGAGGTCCCGTGTACACATTGGCGTGCACGTAAAAGATCCCTTGGCAGTTGGAATTCGATATAAGAGTAGGCCGTAGTGCCGCTGTCCGGGCAAAATTTCCCTCATAGCACACTGTATGGCGTATGCCCGTCTTCATTAGCCCAGGTTAGGAGCAGAACAGTAGGACGTTAAACTCCATTTCATTTCATTTCATTTGAATCAAGTGGCGTAGTTTCGATTCCCCGCTTGTATGCGACAAGGAGTAGGGTCGCCTGTCCAACCTCGTGTATTTTCTTCGGGTCTTCTGGTTTCCCCTCCCACTGCTAAAGCCCCTTTTAGTCCTAGTTTGTGTCGAGTGACAGTTACTAATTGCCACTTACAAGCTAATCATTCTCATATTTGACGGTTTGTAGACACATGTATCATATATGCACGGTTTAATTTATATTATATAGTTTCCAATTAAAGTACTATATAGTTTGGATAAATTTACATGCAAATGAAAAAAAATGGGGGTTTGACGTTCTATTTTACTACCCCACCCGTTCAATAATTTATATATATATTATTAGTGTTTAAATTACTGTGCTAGTTTGGATACATTTGCATGTACATCAAATGAAATGGGGTTTAAATGCCTACTTTTTATCTCAATCGGGGCTAATGAATATGGAATCTTGCATGTATGTAAAGGATTAATAATAAACGTCGAAAGGCATTTTTAAAAGTTGTTCTGAAATCGGCAGTAAAAGTGCAGAAACGTCTTTTTACTGATAAGTTTAAATTGTCATGGATGTTTAGGTCTTTTGAGAGACTAATAAAGCATGAATTATCCAGTGTTAATGGCACCACGCCGGGGACCAACCAGCACCGTGAGGGCCCACAGCGAAGTCGAATACTTATTTTTAAAATAGTATCAATTAGATCCTTAGTGGAGTTAAACTCTTTTTTTTAAAATTAAGGTGTCACAGCAGAGTTTATAAAATACGAGTTGAACACTTATAAATATAAACAAATTTACATCGCGGAGGTCCACAGCGAAGTCGAATACTTATTTAAAAAGACATCAATGAGGCATTAAATTTTTAAATATTAAGGGGCCACCGCAGAGTTTATAAAATATACATCGTTTAATGTTAAGGATTCCCTGGCAGTTCCATGAAAAGTTTGCTCGGACAGCGGTGCTACGGTGTATTCTTATTTCGAATTCCAACTGTCAAGGGTTCTTTTTTGCACGCCAACGTGTACACGGGACCTCGAATTTTTTGTCCCGCCCGAACGACTAGACGCTGTTCCTTGCTAGTCCCCCCGTCCTGCAACACTTTCAAGCAGAAAGTACGTCGGAAAATCCAGAGGAACGGTCTCAACCAACAGGCCACAGTGGAGTCGAACACTTACGCATGATGAGAACCTAAGTGCAGTTGAACACCTATAAAAATAAAAGCAAACTTACATCGTTTAAGGTGACAGTTGAAGATTTTCTTGTATCGTTTTGCATGTTTTCACGTTAAGCCATACCAGGCAAAGCTTATATTATAAATATAGATATATTCCAATAGTTTATGATTTGGCACTGACTACATACATGAACAACTGGTTATAAAAGACAAACTTCTACCTGTCTAGTCTACTACATACTAGTGAGAATGGCAGTAACGCAAATGCTACTATATCAGCACGCTATCCTATTGATCCTTACAAATTCTTGTGTTGCTCGTCCTCGCCAGTCACCGATAGGCTTACGATGTTATACTTATTGGTTTTGTGTGTACGGAATGGGGTTTAACGTCTCGTCAACACAATTATTTGACTATTGTGAGACTAATAAACCTATCAGTATGCTATCTTTGGCAGTCCTTGCCAGTCACCGATAGTCTTACGATGTTATACCTATTGGTTTTGTGTGTAAGTAATGGGGTTTAACATCTCGTCAACACAATTATTTGACTATTGTGAGACTAACAATCCTATCAGTACGCTATCTTTGGCTATTGATCCTTATACTTGCTTGTATTGCTCGTCCTTGCCAGTCATCGATAGGCTTACGATGTTATACCTATTGGTTTTGTGTGTAAGTAATGGGGTTTAACATCTCGTCAACACAATTATTCGTCTATTCCGAGACTAACAATCCTATCAGTACGCTATCATTGGCTATTGATCCTTATACTTGCTTGTGTTGCTCGTCCTTGCCAGTCACCAATAGGCTTACGTTTTGTGTATAAAGAATGGGGTGATTCTGAGATTTACATAAAATTTTTTTATCGCTATGGCCACGTGTGTCAAGCTAAGGGATAAGACGTTCATTGAATTCCATCTGTAGTATGTTCTGTTACCTACACGTCAAAGATTAAACGGGTAAGTAACATGCGGTTATTTTTTGTGTGCAATGTTTAGAGATAAGACGTGCACGTCAAAGAGTACGTGGTTGTCGAACAGGTAAAAGAACAATTTGCAGAAACCCCGCTGACCGTGGACAATTTTCCTCGTTGCACACTGCATGTCGTATGTTGTCTTCAGAGGCCCGGTTGGTGGAGAACAGTAGGACGTTAAACCCCATTTCATTTCATTTCTAAAAGAGAACCGGGGTTTCGTCTGTGAAAGGGGCACCGCCTTTCAAATGGAAAAAAAAATCACGTGGTTTCTTTGCGGTGTTCACACTGTTGCTAGACTCTGATCTTTATTACGCCATATTATTATATTATTCGGTGGTTGCGAGACCGAATGGTTTAACGCGTGTGCCTGTCATTGAGACAAGTGACGTGGCTTCAACTCCCGTTACAAGAAATAGCATCGTCTGTCTAACGTCGTGGGGTTTTTTCCGGGTCCTCTGGTTTCCTCCCATTGCTAAAGACCCCTACGCGTAAGCGAATTATTCAAATAAAATTGAACCATATCTTAGTCCCGATATGACCTAGTTTGTGTCGAGTGGACGTTAAACCCCACTTGAGTCAAGTGGAGTGGTTTCCATTCCCAGCTTGTAAATGTCAAAAATTACGGCCGCTTGTTAACCACTGTTAAAGACCCCTACGCGCAAGCAAATAATTGAAATAAAATTGAAACATATGTTAGTCCCGCAATCACCTAGTTTGTGTTGAGATGATAATATTGACCCCCCACCTCTCTCTCTCTCTCTCTCTCTCTCTCTCTCTCTCTCTCTCATATATTACTCAACCATGAGGGGGGTTGGATGGCTGAATGGTTAGCGTGCGCGCGCTGTATCATAAAGTCTGTCATTGAGTCGACTGGTGTGGTTTCGAATCCTCGGTTGTACGTGACAAGGAGTAGGGTCGCCTGTCCAACCTCGTGGGTTTTCTCCGGGTCCTCCGGTTTCCTCCCACTGCTAAAGACCCCTACGCGCAAGCGAATTATTGAAATAAAATTAAACCATATGTTAGTCCCGAAATGACCTAGTTTGTGTCGAGTGGACGTTAAACCCCATTTCTCTCTCAACCATGAGTATCGAACATATACCGTGATACAAATATACTATAAATGTGTGCCCACGGAATCTAGCTTCCCATACAAACTTAGCTTTCACCACTCCACGGTATATTTGGTGATACCTTTGGAAATGAAATTGAATTTAACGTCCTACTTTTCAGCCAGCTCCATCAGGGCTAATGAAGAAGGGCATGTGCCATGCAATGTGTTATGAGGAAAATTTTTCCCGGACAGCGTCACTACGGCCTCCTGTTATTTTGAATTCCAACTGTCAAGGGTTCTTTTACGTGCATCCGAACGAATATACATTGCCCCTTGTCAGGTCATCCGTCCTGCGCCACTGACTAGGTGGAGCCACGCCGGTAAATCTCGATGAACCTTCTCGGTCAACACCGGGATCGACCACGGGGACCAACAGAAGGGGTCTTTAAAAGTTGTTGAAAGGCGACCCCACTTCTTGTCATGTTCAAGTGGGGAATCGAAACCACGTCACTTGACTCAATGACCGATCTTGTGATTTCACGCACACGCGTTAAACACCAGACCACCCTACCCCCTCCTGGCTAGAGAGCCAACGTCTTACTCACTAAACCATATAAGAAATGTGATAATGAAATGAAATGGGGTTTAACGTCCTACTTTTCTGTTCCGACTGGGCTAATGAAGACGGACATACGCCATGCAGTGGGCTATGAGGGAAATTTTGCCGGGACAGCGGCACTACCGCCTACTCTTACATCGAATCCTAACTGCCAAGGGAACTTTTACGTGCACGCCATTGTGTATTTATATTGGAAACTACATGTAGTATAAATTTCACAAAGTTATTTATAGTATATTCCGATTAACCATTTTAAGAGATTTATCAACATGATAGGGAAATCGAACGCGAAAATGGTGTCGTAATTCATTATTGCGTCCTGTAATACGAAGCTACGGAGATTAAAATTGTACATGTGATCTCTACATCTCTACCGATTGATCGATTTGTGTAACGAAAATCGTTTAGATTTACACTAATATGTTCAATTACAGATCAGGGTCCGTATTCAAAAGTTTTCTAAAAGTTAAGTAAAAATACTTAATTTTTCCACTTAACTGACTGTATTACATTAAATCGGTATTCAAAGGTTATATTTTACATATACTTGGCTATGTGAACAATTTAACTGCACACTTAGATTATAGAATACTCACATTCGCCAAATAAAATAAATTTTCAATTTATGAAATACCCTCCACTGCCAAAAATCACGAATTTCTAACATCGTAAGCAAATTATGCCCCCTTAAGAGAATCGCTACTCTATTAAATTCTTAGTTTACATTACTAGGAAACTGTTTGTCGAAATATTATATTGCAACGCAATGATTATAATTTATCATAAATTATGGTAGTGTGCATCCTTTGCCGGAACGGCTGTTTTCGTAGACTTTGTTTTAAAAAAATATTCAATATCAATAGATTACAATAAATAGTGGTAATATAATGATGGATATTGTAAACTTTAATTTTTTAACAAAATTTCACGAATAGAAAACAACAAATTAATAATGTACAATGACCCTTGCCTTCTAAGTTAGACTGGACAAATCATTCAGTGTTGTTTATAAATCTATCATTTGAGAAATTCATAGACATTGTGTAAGTACCTAGCGGTAGTATAAATAATTTCTGAAATCTGTAAAGCCATGTCATCATAAATGAATTTAACTTTATTATATGACAGTCGTGGAAGCATGATTAAGCAATACGAACATGATAAATGATCGGAAAAAGATATCCTTGACTATCTCGTGGTAATAATCTTATACTCCATTATGGCACTACAACATCAAAGCTGACGACGCTCGGGACTGCTACTACAGCGTTAAAATAAATCTCAATTAACTTTAAGGTACCTTCCATTGGACGCAATACGAAGCCAACGACCAACGTGCCCATATCAGTATGGGGGCTCACCATTAAGCTGATTAATATTGGTTGGGCGCCCAGGACGAGATCGAGATTGACGGGGCGCCCAACCAATGTAACTTGGTTTTATGAGCGCCTCACCAAGCATGTCGTTATATATGCCCCCCCCCCCCCAACACACACACACCAATGATATGGCGCCTCATAATGAATCACACGATTAAAACCACAACTTGCTTGACGGGGCCCCCAAAACGGCGTGATCAGTGGGGTGTCTAATCCCTGAGGGGCGCCCATAATTACATGATTGGTGGCATGCCCTATAATGATAATATATGCATATATAATGCCGAGTGAGATTGGTTGGGCGCCCACGACTTGATCAATGGTGGGGTGCCTCATCCCAGATTGGTGGGCCACCCACGACGAGATTATCGGCGCCCAAAATATAATTGGCGAGGCGTCCATAATGCCGAGTGAGATCGGTTAGGCGTCCACGAATGAATTCGTATTTATTCCTTCAATTTTTTAGGATGTTCATATCAAAATATCATAATACGTCAATATCGCAAATTCAGCCTCAAAATTGAAAATCGGAACCCATACGTACGCGGCGCGAAAATCTGCCAACACTCTAAAAAAAAAAAACCTGCATTGACGCAATGTATGGGACAAATTCCGCTTGCCAAAAGTCTCTAATGTCAACAAAATACGTAATAAAATCTATAAGTTTATTGTTCAAAAACATTTCCGAAATATTGAATGAATTTAATATGGTAGAACATAGATCGTATTGCCTATATAGTTGTTCGTCGATCGTTTTCTTAGCGAAAAGCAGTTTTATTCAAGTTGACATTAAGTTTATGTTATGATTGGTATTGATTTTGTTATGGTTTCTTTGTGAACCTGCTATGTTGTGTATAAGTGATCAGAATATTTCAAGTTGAGATGGGTGGCCGAGGGGGCTATCGCCTAGCTTTCGATCATAATGGCTGTTATTGAGTCAAGTATCGCGGTTTTGATCTGGCGCTGTATGGGTACAAGGAGTAGGAAAAAGTGGGATTTAAGATGTTTTATGTGTACGTCGTACATTATTACATTAAACATTAAATGAATAAACGTTTTAAAAAGGTGGCTTAGGGAGTAAGGCGGCAGCTCGTTAACCGGGAGATCCCGGGATAGAACATCGGTTTTTTCCGGCGTGGCTTTCCCATCAGGATGACCT